TTGTAAACGCCCCCTGGTATGTCCGTAATGCCGATATACACAGGGATCTCACGATCCTAAGTGTCACAGACGAAATTAAAAAGCAAGCAGCCAATCATAAAATGCGTTTGTCCAATCATGTCAATATCGAGGCGGCTCGATTGGTTGACAATCAAAACTTTGTTAAGAGACTTAAACGTACGAGACCTCACGAGTTAGTTTAGAGTTTTTTATCTGGAACAATGAGTACTTAGTACGCTATTGTGCCAGATCAAAAGCTTGTAAATAATCAAAAAGGTTAGAGCAAAATTAATGGTTAGTCGTTTTCGACTAGTTTTATAGTTTATTTTGAGGAGGGTGTTTTTTAGTGGATTAAAGTTCCACACTACTGCTTTTCGTCTGGCAGTGTCTTTCGAGATTTTTCACCCTTCCTCTCGGTAAAAAAAAAAAAAAAAACAAAATATTTAGTAACACTTTCACTTAACTACACAATTCACATTACGGTCGATTATGTGCTGACCACATCAGATTTTTTTTTCTTTGTTTTTTTTTTATCGAAGGAAGGAGGAAAGCATGAATGCTACTATCATGCCATAGTTAGTTATGTGTTTTAACATAAAAACATCAAATTTTCTTTAATATAGATTGAAAGAGATTCAACGCTCCCCGATTTGGTGAAGCGCATTTTGCGCTAAATCAGAAGGCAAAGTCCTCTTTAGCCTCTGGGAGAATCCCGAATAACAAGGAGCCGAGAGGTCTCTACGTTGACATGTGCTCCAGACGAGCTCTATGTCCCACCGCCCTTTTATTAATTTCGTCAACTACACATGGAATCTCTAGAACTCTGTGCAAATCTCCATTTCGTACATACCAAGAGACATCCACCATATTCCGCAAAACCCTATTCTGAAACGTCTGCATTCACTGGACATGTATTTGTTTGGCACATCCCCACAACTGGATACAATACAACCAAACTGGTTTAATCATTTGGTTATATAGCAGGATCTTATTCTGTATCGGGAACCTTGGCTTGCGACCTAGGAGCCAACACATTTTTTCATATTTTAATTCTAATTCTACCTTTTTCTTTTTAACATGTTCCTTCCATTTTAGCTTAACATCCAGTGTCATTTCTAGATATTTTGCCGCATTTTCCTGCGTAAAATTTACCCCATTTTACACTGACAAATTTTAAATGTAATTATCAAATGAATTCTCTTTGATTTTTCTTTTTAGATTCTGAGTGAGTCGATTGAGTGCAGCTTTATCTGCTGGATCTCTTGAATTTCGCCATCTGCGTCTAGCTCTTCTCTTTTCGCTTATCATATTTAGTATTTCTCTTGGGTAAGTCATACCCACGGATTTATACTCATATTATTTTGTACAATTCCAGGCTTTGTATGATTTTATTAAAATTCTCCACCGCAGAATCCAAATCACCTTGGGTTCGTACTTTGATTCATAAGTTCATTTTATTCTCTATCTCTTCTTTAAAACTAGTCCAGTTAGTGGATTTATTAATCAACATGGGCTTATTTTGTTTCTTGGTAACTGTCTCAGCTAAGTTTAATATAACTGCAGAATGATCCGAATCCAAATAATAGTTATCGTCTAAACTAATGAAATTTGGCGAGATTTTCTTGACAATAAAGAAGTCTAGCAGATCTGGTATCCTCTCTTTATCACTTAGCCAATACGTCGGTCTACCAGTGGATTGGTCTCTTTAATAGCTTTTCTTAACTCTCTACCTCTTGCTGAGGTCAATCTATAACCCAAATCAATATGTTTAGCATTAAAGTCCCCTCCCAGAATTAACATTTCTTTAAGGAGATTCAGGAGATGTTTTAATGAACCACTTTTTATAACTCTTCCCGGAGGACAGTAAAGTACATCGAAATTTTGTTTATAAGACTCTATTCCTACAGCAACAAATTGGCTATCGTCTCTTTCTACTTTACTTATTTCATTATGTTTTATATTATTCCTTATTAAAATAGCGCAGCCATCTTTTGATTCGTTATTAGGATGCGCCGCTTTGTATTCTATGTAGCCATTTATTTTTATATCTGTTTGCTGTTTAAATGTGCCCTGTCACTAAAAATATATTTACTTTTTGGGTCATTAGAAATATTTCTAACATACGCTTTTTATTAAGAACGCCATTTTTCTGAAATACTCTATGTGATCTTTCTTGTGGTATAAAAATATGCTTGTTATAAAAATTAAGAACATTAAAATAAAAAATGTATTTGAATAAATTATTATGTCGTTTTTATTTTTTTCAAATTTAATTTTTTCAATCTTTTCGTTATTTTCCATTTGGTTTACATGAATTGATTCCAAATTAATAGCAAGCTTTACACTTTCTAATTTAGGTATACAATATTTTGTTAATAATTAGGTATTACAATATTTTATTTGAATTCAATCATCTTATTTGAAAATTTTTGTTATTAGTCTCAATAATACAAATTTAAAAAATATTATACAATTTTATTTAAAATATAATTTAGCTGGAAGCCTCTAGTGCGAATCGCACTAATTTCAAATATTTCTGAAAATAGTAAAACAAAATTAATATTTCTGAAAACAGTAAAACAAAATTAACACGTTGAGCTGCATGACTATTAAAAGTAGTTACATTGAGTTCCATCGTATAACCCGTAACTAACATAACATGTTAGTTATATCATTTGCAAGCATTATGTTGATTTACATAAAACAAAAAAAATTTGATATGATCAACACATAACGGACCGCAAGGTATTATATGAAGTTTAGCTAAAATTTTGCATGAGACTACGAAAATGTCTTTTAAATACTTCTCATAAATTTTATAGAGGCTAGCACGGTTTTAGTTAACATACCTGGAAAAATATAAGTTTAGATATTACCAGAGGATCATTTTAGGCTTACCATTTGGTCCCTGAAAAAATCGTCAGTTATTTTTGGTACCAAACGGAATTCAAACGTTTAATTTTAAGAAATTTCATCAATTAGCTCCATAGATATGATAACAAATCCCCTGGTTCTGTTTCCGAGCCCTGATATTTCCAAAAAATTTGTAACTTGATGGTGTTAACGCCCCGAATGTAAACATTAAATTTCACGGAAATTGGGTGATTTTTTTTCTTTATATGCGCAAAAATGTAATTCTGGCCCGTATTTTTATACCATGTATTTCGTGAAGGGTATATTAACTCTGGTATGTAGTTTGTAACTACTTGTTGAAGGAGTCATCTGCGGTATGGATATGTATATATATTCTTGCTCAGCGTAAAATTCTGCGTTGATTTAGAAATGTTCGTCCGTCCGATCGCACGATAACTCAAAAACGAATAATGCAATCGACACCAAACGTTTACAAGTTGTTTCTTTTGGGGCAAGGATGAACCATTTTGTAATTGGACTAATTCGGGTTCCGGTAGCTGCCATACAACTCAAAAAGTTTAATAAAAAATTTTGTATACATGTGTCCAATTATATTCTACATATGTTTTAAAATTTTTAATGGGATAACTGCGCTGGTTTGGGTGACTGCTATACAATTGCAAAAGGAAATTTTTTATATTCGGCAAAATAATAAAGTCGGATTCATGAAACTTGGCAGTCATGTGTCCAATCATAGGTCAGATATATTTCTGAAGTTTTAGTGGAATTGCCTGACAGATTCGGGTACCTGTCATACAACTCCAGAAGCTAATTTTAAATATTTGGAAAAATAATAAGGTCAGATTCATGAAACTTGGCAGTTTTGTGTCCAGTTATAGATAAGATATATTTTTGAAGTTTTGGTTGAATTGTTTGATAGGTTCGAGTAGCTCCCATACAAGTCCAAAAGCTTATTTTATATATTTGGAAAAATAATAAAGTCATATTCATGAAATTTGGCAGTTGTGTGTCCAGTTATAGGTCAGACATATCAGTGAAGTTTCTATAGAATGGTTTCACAGGTTTGAGTATTTGCTATACAAGAACGAAATATGCAGGGTATAATTTAATTGGTTTATATCGATTTTACTTGTTTTTTGTTTTATTTACTTTATATTTCCATTATGTCTGATGTGTCGATCACCACGACATATGTACACATTTATATATACATTAGTAGTATAATAGTACTTCTCCTATTGATTTCATATATAAAAATAACGTGAGTGAATGAAAGGCTATTTTCCCGGTAGCACTTCTACGAACAATCCAATATACAAAAAAAAAAGCTCGAGCTATTAAAAACAAAAACAATAAAATAAAAAATAAAAATTATCAGCAATGCATTTAGTGAGAATTAAAAAAAGAGAGAAACTGCGAAAAAAACAACAAAATAAATTACAATGCAAGTTTGCATGCATTGAAATGTCGATCAGAAAGCATAATAAGAGAGATATCGCGAAAATAAAAACATCAATACAAATTCAAATAAAATAGCAATATGAATAGCAATGGAATGTCAGCAAAGTTTCGATGCTGATAATGTATAATTTTTAAAAAAACAAAAATATGCATCGCAATGTAATATGCACAAAACCACGTTGTTGTTGATGAACAAGCTGAAACAAGAAAGCTTTTGTAACAAAAATCAAATTGTAAAAAAAGAATCACAAAATGAACAGAAAAAAACCTGAATAAAAAATGTAGTATTTAAAAGTAAGTTAGATTAGTTATGATTTTTTAAAATTAAACTGAAAGTGTACCTATATTAAGAAAACGTAAATTATGAAAATATTTAAAGCAAAAACTTCTTTTCAATGTAATTCTTGCATTAAGATATAAGAGATATTTTTTTTATTTTGCAGGCGGTAAGAGGTAGTCGATACCGTTAGCCTTTAACGTTTATAAAAAAAAGATGATAATATCTGCATGCATTATGTTTATTTTAAAATTTAATACAAGATTATGAAAATCAAAAACTTTGAAAATTGTTTGAACTAAAATACCGTACCTATATAAGAAGTTAATTTTATGACACAAGTTCTTTTTTATATAAAGCATTGAAACCTAAAAGTTGATTTTTTAAAATGAGTAATGTTAATTCCAAAATACATAATATATATTATGATAAAAATAAAGAAAATCTTTATGGTTCAATTAATAAACTTCACAAAGCTTTAAAAAATGAAAAAATATCTCAGAAAAAAATTGAAGCTTGGTTAAGAAGTCAGCCAGCATATACCTTGCATTATCCAGTAAAAACAAAGTTTCCTAGAAATCATTACCTAGTGCAAAAAATTGATCAGTTGTGGGAAATAGATTTATGTGATTTAAAAATGTTTAAAAAGTATAATGATGGTTACACGTTTTTGTTAACAGTAATTGATGTGTTTTCCAAGTTTGTTTGGGTAGTGCCTTTAAAACAAAAAAAAAGGAACTGAAGTTACAAAAGCTTTTAGTAAAATTATATCAGGAAGTCAAAGAAAACCAGAAACGGTTCAATCAGATGAGGGTAGAGAATTTAAAAATATAAACTTTAAAAGTTTTTTAAAACATAATAATATTAATCAAAGATTTCCAACAATTGCATCAACAAATAAAGCTGCAGTAATTGAAAGATTCAATCGAACGCTAAAAGAAAAGATGTTCAAGTTCTTCACGGAAAGTTCAAGTAAAAGATACATTGATATTTTACCACAACTGGTTAAAAGTTACAATGTTTCTGTACACAGTACTACAAAATTTCGTCCTGCAGAAGTTCAACCAAAACACACTACAGAAATTTATAACAATTTTAAAAAACGTTTTAAAAAAGACCCTAAACTATTCGTTGATATTTTCGTTGGAGATTTGGTGCGCGTACGTAGAAAAAAAGCAACTTTTGAGCACGGATATACAGAAAAATGGACAAAGGAAATTTTTATAGTAGATAAAGTTATAAATAGAGAGCCTTATCCATTATTTGTATTGCACGATTTGAAGGGTAAAGAAATAAACGGAAGATTTTATTATCAAGAGTTGCAAAAAGTTTATGTTTAAATGATGATTCAGTTCCATCATCCGTTTACAATGATAATTGCTGGGCCATCTGGCTCAGGAAAAACAACATTTATTTGCAATTTAATCAATCAAATGAAGAGTTTAATTCAGCCTGAAATAGAACATATTATGTGGTGTAATCCAGAAAATAACGCATTGCCAAAAAACTTAAATTTCACGCAAATTGAGTATTTTAATGAAATTCCTGAAAATTTAAATAACGATAACAATATCCTAACATTACTTATTTTGGATGATTTAATGATTGATGCCTACACTATGAAAGTTTGTGAACTTTTTACTAAAGGATCTCATCATCGCAACTTATCAATTATGCTGGTATCGCAAAATGTTTTTCATCAGGCAAAATTCTGTAGAGATATATCGTTAAATGCAAAATACTTGGTGTTATTATAAATCCACGAGATAAATCGCAAATTTTACCTTTGGCACGGCAAATAGTACCAGAAAACATCAAACAATTTCAAAGAGTATATAATGAGACAACATCAGAGCCACATAGCTATATTATCTTAGACCTGACGCAAGGTATAAACGATTTATTTCGATTTAGAACTGATATTTTTGATAATAAAACAAAAAGTTGTGTGTGTTTTTGCACACTAGATCAGTTAAAAAATAAAACGTTATGTGAGAAATATGAAACGTTTGATAGCAAACCAGCATATACTGCATACACTAAAAAAGTCTAAAACAAAACTTCGAAATATTTTAATAAGAAATTGTGACTCTGAGGTGATTAAAACTTTGTGTGAAATTTCATTGAACATTCTTAATGGAAATATTAAACTTTCCAAAAATAAATTATCACGAATAAGAAAATATAAAAATCAACTTCGATATTTAGCTTGCCCAAAAAAATCTATAAACGCTAAGCGTAAACTTATCATACAAAAAGGGGGTTTCTTACCAATGTTAATCGGTACAGTTTTGTCGGGCTTACTGGGAAAACTTGTTTCGAAATATACAAAATGAACAACACATTACAACGCATGATTGTTATTCAACCAGACTTATACAATAAGCTAAAAGAAAATATCATAAACGATAATGAGCTCTCGGATATTGATAGAAATACAAAAGCAATTTTATTTAACAAAAAATTAAATGATAATCAAAAATGGTATTTATATCGTCAAAACTTGATGAAATTTAGTATGAAAAAACGAAAAGGTATGCAAAGAAAACCTGCTGAATCGATTAACAAGCAATATAGCATGCTAGAATCTAAAAGTACACAAACACGTCCAAAGCCCGAGCGAAAAAGCACAAGTGTTCAAACAGATCTAGTTGAAAAGAAAAATGTTGATGTACAGGCTAATTTATCTCCTCAAGAGGAATTTTTCGAATATGATCCTATTGAATATTGGAGTATAGTACCTTCAGATGAGGAAAAAGATGATGTTTTTGACGATGATATAAAAGACGAATCGCTATTACGAGACAGAGCACTATCAGTAGCTTCAGAGGGAGCACGACTAAAACCAAGGAAATCTATAAATGTAGCAAACGTGCGAATGTTTGAAACAGATTCAGGCGACATTATAAGTGTTCCTATTGATAGTCCAAAAAAACCTTTAAAACGAGTACTTCGATCATCCACAAGAGAAGGTGATAAACAATTACAATTAAATTTTCCTGTTCGAAAAAGAACAAAAGCAAAGTCTGCCTCTAGTGTATCTACGCAACAATGGACACGCTTCAAATAGAACCTAATGGGGAAGATTTTTATATAACGTTGTTGAGTGACGCATCAATTAAATATTATCCCGAAAATACTTTATCAAAATTTACAAATAAATTACCAAAACATTTGAATTTAGAGAAAAATAAGTGGAAAGTAGGAATTTGTGAACTTTTTATGAACAATTTTATTCCAAACATATTTGGAGAAGTTTACGCAAAGGCTGCTGTGATATTTATTGGAACAACGGAAAAAAACTCCATCGGTATTGGAAAAACCTATATTCCTTATAATGAAAACGAATTGCGATGCGATTGGAAAACGCTTTTATTACCCACACTGTTTCAAAATATTTCTCCAAATCCGGGATACACAAGAAAAGAAGTGGAACAACAATTAATATGGGAAATCTATAATTTCATTTCAAATGATGCTAATTATGTTTTGGATAACAAATTTAAGATAGATACTACACATACAGAATATCCTATTGAATATTGGAGTATAGTACCTTCAGATGAGGAAAAAGATGATGTTTTTGACGATGATATAAAAGACGAATCGCTATTACGAGACAGAGCACTATCAGTAGCTTCAGAGGGAGCACGACTAAAACCAAGGAAATCTATAAATGTAGCAAACGTGCGAATGTTTGAAACAGATTCAGGCGACATTATAAGTGTTCCTATTGATAGTCCAAAAAAACCTTTAAAACGAGTACTTCGATCATCCACAAGAGAAGGTGATAAACAATTACAATTAAATTTTCCTGTTCGAAAAAGAACAAAAGCAAAGTCTGCCTCTAGTGTATCTACGCAACAATGGACACGCTTCAAATAGAACCTAATGGGGAAGATTTTTATATAACGTTGTTGAGTGACGCATCAATTAAATATTATCCCGAAAATACTTTATCAAAATTTACAAATAAATTACCAAAACATTTGAATTTAGAGAAAAATAAGTGGAAAGTAGGAATTTGTGAACTTTTTATGAACAATTTTATTCCAAACATATTTGGAGAAGTTTACGCAAAGGCTGCTGTGATATTTATTGGAACAACGGAAAAAAACTCCATCGGTATTGGAAAAACCTATATTCCTTATAATGAAAACGAATTGCGATGCGATTGGAAAACGCTTTTATTACCCACACTGTTTCAAAATATTTCTCCAAATCCGGGATACACAAGAAAAGAAGTGGAACAACAATTAATATGGGAAATCTATAATTTCATTTCAAATGATGCTAATTATGTTTTGGATAACAAATTTAAGATAGATACTACACATACAGAATACATAAAATTATGCATTGAAAGGCCTTCGGCTGAAATACGAATTCTTGTTGGCACTGGGTATACAGTAAAATTTTTATTGAAAACATGTCTTCAACAAGTACTTGCTGTACAAAAAGAACTTAAAAAATATAAATCAAAATTTATTGAAGCATATCAAAATATAACAAATATGTTAGTAACCTCTCCAGAAACTAAAACTGATATGGTGTTTGTTTATACGGATATAATAGAACCGCAATATATTGGTGATACAATGGCAAGATGTATGAGAACTATTAATACAACAAATCCATTTACAGATTTCGTAACACAATTTGACCAAGTTCAGTATTGTAATATTGAAAAAGACAGTTTTGAAAGCATTTCAATTTTGCTATGTGACAAATACGGATATAATTTAAATTTTTCTAGAAGCAACATGCCCACCAAAATTGTATTACACTTCAAAAGATATAAATAAGTCAACAAGCTCATGTTATTTATTCTTATATGATGAACCGTTCATATTACAAGTATTATTTAGTACAAAGTGGTAGGGGTACTGACGACATTGGACCTTTAGTTCACTCAAGTGTGCAATATCAAAGAGGACGAGGACTTGGAAGTTTCTTTGGAGGATTGTTTAAATATTTAAAACCAGTTATATCATCCGGTTTGAATTTAGTGAAAAAAGAATCTTTAGACACCGGCATTAATGCATTATCTGATATTATTTCCGGAGCAAATCCAAAAGAAGTATTGCAAGATAGAGGGAAAGAAGCATTAAAAAATATAAGACGTCGAGCTGTAAACAAACTAAATGAAATGTATGGCAGCGGTATAAGAAGAAGAAGAGCTATAAAAAGAACTCACTCAACTACATTAACTCATTCAAATCAAAAGAAACGCAAAGCTAAGAGTAAACAAAGGAAAAAAATTCAAAAACGAGAAAAACGAGATATATTTAATTAAAATATAAAATGAACGAATGTATGAAATCAGAACTAGATTTATTTACAAGTCCACCAATACAAGCAAGCATTCTAAAATCTGAAGAGGTTTCATACAATCCTATTGCTTCTCTGGATAGTCCCTCAACAATAGAATTCGTTTCATTAGGTCATGGTGACACATACAGGGATTTGTCTTCAACATATCTAAAACTTAAAGTTCAAATTTTAAAAAAAGATGGAACACCGTGGCATGATGATAAGGGTGCAGATGGAAAAATCCTTCAACAACCCAGTGTAGTGAATAATCTATTACATTCTATAATTAAGCAGTGCAATGTACAACTCAATGGTAAAAATATCACTCCGTCAGATGGAAATTACCATTATAGAGCTTATATTGAATCATTGTTAAATTATGGAACTGATGCTGCAACAACTCATTTGGAATGCGCTGGATGGATTTTAGATAAACCGAATATAGCTAGATCTGACAATAATGGTTCAAAGGAACGTCAAAAACTATATCATAACAGTAATATTGTTGAACTCATGGGAAAACTCCATGTCGATATGTTTAATCAACCTACGCTTCTAATAAACAATGTTGATATTCGAATTCTATTCACATTAGAAAAACCAGATTTTTTCTTATTTGCGGACGACTCGGATGAATCGCAACTAAAAATTGTAGAAGCCAATTTATTTATGAGACATGTAACTATAAATCCTAGCGTATTACTAGCCCATAATGCAGTTTTGGAAAAAGCAAATGCTAAATATCATTATAAAAGAGTAGAAGTCAAAAATTTCACAATTCCAAGCAACAGCTCATCGATTTCACTAGACAATGTTTTCATTGGTCAATTACCAAACACAATTATCTTTTGCATGACCGAAAATTCGGGGTATTCCGGGAAACGATCAAAAAATCCCTACAATTTTAAGCATTTTGATATTTCACAATTCATGCTTTATGTTAATGGTGTTCAAGTACCAAATGCAGCAATAGAAACAAGTTTTTCTGACGATAATAACTGCAGCACAAGAGCTTACCATACATTAT